AATGCTGCCATCAAAGGCTTTGAGTGAGTATACTACAGACATCAATAAAACATCTTTTAAATCTTAAGTTGTAGTTTATTTTAATTATTGTAATTTCAAACAGAGTTATCACAACACTTTTCTGATTCTTGATTTCTGTGCATATGCTGCAGAGCTTTTGTGGTGGAGCAGGACCTGCAAGGAAAGGTGACGGCGGCATTTGTGAAAAAAAGGGAAAACCTGAAACAAAAATATAAAGTAAGATTATTTTGTTACTTCTAATACAGAAATCAAATGACATTGTGCTGTTAAAATGACTGCTTTTGTATTATATTTGTGCATTTTTGCAGGATCTGAAATGTCTGCAGACTGGTTTGAGCAGTGAGGATGGAGAAGTCCACAGCAGCATCCTGGAAATGGTCCAGTGTCATGGATGAGTCACTCCATCACTCCACCTGCCCTTACTGCCTCATCTGGACCGGATGTTGCTGTGGCCCCTTCATCCTCAGTGAGCCCAGAGTCAGCGAGAACATCTAGAGAAAGACTAAAAGACATTAAGGATGTGATTTTGGTCAAGTTGGTTCTGCTGGTTTCTGTTCATACAACATCAGTCAATGGAGCCAGAGTTTCAAAAGCTTTAAAAGCATCATCAAATAATGTCATGAAGCTTCTGAAAGTGAGGCTCCATTAACTGATATTGTATGAACAGAAACCAGCAGGACAAACTTAACCAAAATCACCTTTTGTGTTCAGAAAAAAACAAAAACAAGGATTGAACAGTGTGGAGGCGAGTAAATAATGACTTAATTTATATGTTTGGGTGAACTAACCCTTTAATTGTATGAATAAATTGTATGAAATATGTATGCATTTATATTATAGTAGTACCATGACGAAATAAACTTTGAGAAATAAGCAGCTTTATTGAGCGTTTGTGCCCAAGACACAAAAAAGGATTTACAAAAATCACATTTACATTTATTCATTTGGCAGACACCTTTATCTGAAGTGACTTACAGTGCTCTTATTACAGGGATCCCAATCCCCCTGGAGCAACCTGGAGTAAAGAGCCTTGCTGAAGGACACACCGGTGGTGACGACTGCGGAGATCGAACCAGCAACCTTCTGCTTACCAGTTCAGTGGTTTAGCTCACTACACCACAAAAGTAATGAAGCAATGACAACAATGCTGACAACATGAATTGTAAAACGTTTTACTCTCTGTAAATGTTTTACAGGTAGTCGTGCTCATGGAGAGTAGGCACACAAATTTTTGGAGCAGACACGGCACCAGTCAGATTGTCCTACACATGTTCTCCTGCTCTTGTTCGTGATGGACGGCAAAGAAACACGGTGGTCAGCTGCTTCATCAGAATAAAGCTGCAGAACTGGAACAGCTGTGTTGAGATGCAGTAGGATGTGGCTTCACTGCCTGTAAATACATGTTTGTTAGAACAATATGTTTGAATAAAGCTTTGTTTCCTGTGTCGATGATTTGTATTTATTAATTTTCATGGTTACTTTTATTTATTCTTTTACTCATTTATTCATATTTCCTGTTGTCAGTAAATAAAATATAATTGTTTAATTAACTTGTGCATTAATTCATTACTTGACTGAAAATTTAGATGTATTCACCTTGGCTGCATTTGTCTAGTGTGTAGTCATGCATAGCTATGGCATATGACAAAACAAATTACATTTTGCTTGTTTTACATTTGCATTTTTCGAGTGTAAAATTAACAGTCTTCTCCAATGGCGAGATCTTCTAGCAGCTGATCGACGTCGTCTTTGTGCAGATATTACAAATATTGCAAACGCTGAGGAAAACCGTACTAGGTAGGGTTGTGGAGTTACTGATGCTATGAGGTGATAGTGCACCTGTCCCACTTATGTTATTTTTTTATTATTATTACTGCAGAACTTATAATTACATACAAGCTCAGGGAAAGATGGTTGTATCTTTAACAATGAACAATCATAATGACAAAAAGCAGAAAACATAAATATAATGGGTTTGCATACATCATAGTATGAAAAAAAGGCACAACGACAAGGTTAAATATCTCTGAATAATCATAATATTCATATAATCAATGCATCAAAATATTGCATTTGTTGTTGTTTATAAGCTGGAGGGATGAAACAAGGGAGTTAAATTCAACAAGAAAAATAGGAAAACAAAGGAGATTTAGGCCAGTTTTGCGTGTAGTTGAACAATTTTACACATAAAATAAATTAATAACATATTCACGAGATAACGATTTTGGGTTTTCGTAATAAAAAATAATATCTTTAAGGATTAAACTGTGGGTCATTTTAGTAGTTAAAAATATAAAAACTTAAATCAACACAAAATGTATTGGTTATGCTACAATCACAATAAAAGGGCAGCTGTTTCTTTAACAAGATGAGCAAATTTCATCATCATCAAAATATTTACAGATAGAGGTATTAAACCTGTCGCTCGTATCTTTTAAGCTGTTGCTTGTTATAACGTCATAGATCACATGATAATGTCAACATGGCGGATCGCATTCATACTTAACGAGATTTGGCTGTAGAGTACCTACTCTTTTAGCGCTTGTTAAGTACCTACTCATTGAGTAGGTGGTTTCGGACGCAGCCAAGGTCATATCCATTACCATGCTAAAATCTTCCGAGAGTTGTCATGACAGAACTAAAAACAACAAAATATGCTACGGCTGGGTAACAAAAAATCGATTTCTCGATTTTAATAGATTCTCATTTTTATGAATCAATATCGATTCTTAAATCCCAATTGATGCTGTTTTCAGCTGATGAATGAACAGTAGGCCTACATATAGTTCGCCTCCCATCCAATAAATCGCAAGCTTTGTGCGTTGTTACTTTTGATATGAAATGAAGTCTCAGATTTCAACTTCTGTCAATTTTATTAGGAAATTCAAGCAATAAATACTGTTTCGGCGCTCTTTAATGTGGCGTGATAGATCGCTGTAGCCACCTCAAGCGAATCGATTCGGCAGCGGAAACCCAACAAACAAGTGCTTTCACTTTTCTACTAATGGGTAGGCCTACTTGGCTGTGCGTAATCAAACGGGGGAATTAGAACAGGGTAATGACAAGCCGCACAAAATATTCTCAAATTTTAGCACTAGGTGGTGCTATAACAATCCTCATAATTCTGCAACCATTTGTTGAAGGAAGTTGTTGTTTGTCATGCTAATTTACATTTAAATCAATCATTTCTTTTTGAACCTTGCCTTATACACATAGGCATTGTCATGTTAGAATAGAAAAGGGTCCTGTCAAAACTGTTGCTATAAAATTAGAAGCAGGCAATTCCCTAGAATATCATTATATGCTTAAACATAAAGGGCCCTATTTTAACGATCTAAGCACATGGTCTAAAGCGCAAGGCGCAGGTGCACTTAGGGCATGTCCGAATCCACTTTTGCTAATTTAATGATGGGAAAACAGTCGGCGCACCCGGTGCATGGTCTAAAAGGGTTTTTCCCTATTCTCTTAATGAGTAATGGGTGTGTTTTGGGCAAAGAGAGGTCTCCAAAGAGTAAACGGAGCTGCTCGTGCGCGAGCAAACAGGTAGCCTAATTCTGATACATGCAATGACTTTCCATTATGACATGTAGGCATTTTTATATTTATGTAGCCTACACAATAATAATCTTTTACATTGTAATCCTTTAATTTTTAATATTTGGCATGTTTGTGTGCTGCTCCCTGTGTGTGTAATAAGCTGACTGTACGTGCGTTGTGGACTCGCCTATAGGCACATATTGCTAACGAGCTCTTTAAATAACAAATAAAAAAAATAATGTGCCATTGACTTTGGACCAGGTTTAAGTTGGTCAATGGTGCAGTCTATTTCAGTTGCCTCAAAATAGCAATGCGCCTGAACACACCTCGTTTTCAGACCAGCACGACCATGAGCGCATTTGCTATTTAAACAACGTGGCGCAGGACGTGAAAATGATAACTGCGTCAGGCTGAAACTAGCAAAAAACACTTGCGTCGCGCCTGGCGCCACATTGCGCCGGGTGTATGATAGGGCCCAACGATTTGTAGGCCCTACTTATAGAAATTACTTTTGTCCATATAGCCTAGTGTATATGCCACTCCCTACTGAGTGTAGCCTATAAAAGATTCAGACTTTACAACATGCTAATCTACAGTGTATCTAGCACCAAAACGGTAGAATCTGATGCTAAAAAATCCTTTAAACTGTCCAGTCTGTCTTATCTGCTTAAGGACCCAGTGACAACATCTCGTGGACACAGTTTTTGTATGGACTGTATTAAGATGTGTTGGGATAAGGAGGGGTTACAATTGACCCAATTGCAGGTCTACATTCAACCAAAGCCCGTCTCTCAGAAACACAGTGCCGGCTGACATTTTAGAGGGAATGAAACTGGAGGCACCAGCTAGGTTTTGAGATGTGAAGTGTGATGTTTCTAAAGGAAGAAAACTCAAAGTCATCAAGTCTTGTCTGGTGTGTTTGGCTTCTTACAGTCAAACTGACATTCGTCCTCATTATGAGTCTGAAGCTTTCAAAAAACACAATCTGGTTAACGCTTCCTCAGATCTACAGCAGCAGATCTGCACTCAACATCATAAAGCACTGGAGATTTACTGCTATAATGACTGGATGTGTGTTTGTGTAGTTTGTATGGGGGTCAGCACAGTGGACAACAGTTGCAGCTGAAATAGCTAACAAAAAACAAACAAACAGGTAAGTGATATATTCACACAAATAATGATTACAAGGGATCACAGGTTTGGAAAATGGAGTGATGATTATATTTGTATGGATAATTATAAGCTATTTTTAGAAAGAGAGAAAAAGGCTTACTGTACAAATACAAATTACAGTATATCCAGTCAATATTTTAATTAATTAATTTTATTTTATATATATATACCTTCAGACGTCTATGATATGATCTAACTATAGGAATGTTTTCAGGATTTCCAAAAATGCACATTCATGTCATATTTTCATTATGAGATTTGCTTGTTACTTTTTTTAATGGCTCCAAAATGCTGCCAGATCAGTGTTTGAAGTACACACCGGTATGCAGTACCAGCACTTCTGTATTTTAGTCTTTAGCGTGCCGACACTTTTTCGTGCGTACCGGCACTTCAGACACGTTGCCGGTACTTACAGTCAAAGCATTGGTGTCTTAGTGATTACAAAATGTTAGTATATAAACCACACTGCTCAGAAGGGGGCACTGTGAATTACCTCTCGACAAATCATGTGATGAAGTGAATAAGTGCAAGCTGTGTCGGACACGCTCGTTCCAAATTCAAATGTTGCCGCTTCAACAGGTTTTTTATGGCAGGAAAATCGAACGCTCATTGGCTCCAGAGATTGTCTTAATATAGGGAGATGAGAGGGTCTGTATTACCAAAGTCTCTTTAAGGCAAGTCATGTCACTCGGCGGCCATCTTTGAATCGCCTCTCAGGCATGCAAGTGCAGCTCCTATCTCTTTGAATGGGGAAACGTCAAATTCTCCAAAACTGTTCACCAAGCTTATGATTAAATTTCATATTTGAAATCACCAATGAAATCTGACAACAACTGTCTCATACATGTTGTTTCTTTTGCTCAAATAGTGCTAGACCAGCCAGTGCGCACGTCTCAGAACACTGATTGTTTCTATAACAACCGGGACTTCTAACCATAGACATAATAAATGGTATTTATTATGTCTGTGCTTCTAATGGCAGCTGCAGTGACACGCTGACTTTACTGATTAGCGATTGGCTCTTTCATTCAGAAGGCAGGGCTTCCTGTGTTAGAGTGGCCATATTGAGTGTTGCATTTTTCCCCATTCAAAACTATACCAGTGACACGTCTTGGGTATTCTATAGAGGGTATGCACGTGACGTCACCGTCATCTGGAGTGACTGCGGCTCCGCCCACTGTGTGGCAAAAAGACTGAATGGCAGCATTGGTTTTCAGCGTGAATGCTGTGACAAAACACATCTAAAACGAGAAAGAGCTTTGCAATTGACTGTACAAATAGATTTGACAAGAAATCTGAGGTATATTTTTACAGACTGCCAAATGCTACAGAAGAGAGAAGCAAATGAATCGCTGCAATTCAAAGAAACAAATGGACTCCAGGCAGCGAAACATAGATTTGCAGCTATCATGTAATTTCAATATGTTGAATTTTGTGGTAAAATCATACACTATATATTGTATTGTTATATATTGTATTGATAACCCACCAATTAAATATTTACCATCTTATATTCTACATAACCGGATGGTTTTAAATAAACACTGACAAAAACTATATATGTTTTT